CCTACCCAGGTACATGGGGGGTTTCTTGCCTTTTGGGAGGTATGAGGTCTTCTGCCAGCGTTCAGTAGGTGTTCTGTAGGAGTTTTTCCACGTGTAGATGTATTTCTGGTGTATCTGTGGGGAGGAAGGTGATCTCCGGGTCTTACTCTTCTGCCATCTTCCCGGAAGCCCCAGCTCTTGCCATTTCTATTCAACATTGTACTGGAGGTTCTTCTAGCCAGAGCAGTTGGGCAAGAAAAAGAAAAGACATTCAGAATGAAAAAGAAGAAGTAAAACAATTTCTATTTGCAGATGACATGATCTTATCAAGGAAATGCAAATTTAAGGCATAATGAGATAGCACTATATACCTACTAAAGTGGCCAAATTAAAAAGCAAAAAACAAAAAACACATGTTGGTGAGGATGTGGAACAACTGGAACCCTCATTTATTGCTGGTAGTAATGGAAAATGGTATAGCCACTTGTAATAGAGTTCTCTATTAACTGAAATATATATACATATATACACATACATATGTATGTGTATATATGGATATATATACATATATATATGTATGTATGTATATATGTGTGTGTGTATATATATATATATATATATATACACACACACACACACAGGTCCTAAGATCTGCAGGGTGAGTCAGTAAGCTGGAGACCTAGGAGAGCTCATGGTAGTTCCACAGTCCAATTCCAGAGGCCTGAGAACCAGGAGAGCTGATGGTATAGTTTCAGCCCAAAGACCAGCAGGCTTGAGATCAAGGAAGAGCAAATGTTTCAGTTCTGTCTTATCCTGAAGGTTTTAGCCCAGTACCCCTGCAAAGAGGGCCCTGCCTAGGATTCCCTCTAATTGGTGGCATTTATCCCGAGTCTGACTACACTCACTGGGTATTCTCTTGTTTAATATGCCTCTCCCCTGCTGGACCATGAGCTCCGTGAGGTAAGAGTTAGGTTTATTTGTTCTCTTCTAATCCCTGGAGCCTCGCACAAGGCCCAGAGGCTCTAGAGGAAACTGGCTGAAAGGACTTCTCAATGCTTTACCAAGTGCTAAAGATTTATTTTGAAAGTTTAAGCTTCCCTCTAGTGGAAAATACAAGCCAAAATTCGAGCCTAGCTTTTATTCTTTGTTTTTGTCAATGAGGGCCCCAGACTCTCAGACCAGAGAAGCAGAGACCTAGCATCTCTTCTCTCCCTGCCGTGGAGTAGATATCGTGGGCTACCTGCCCACCCTGGGCCCACGTGGAGCTCCCCACAACTGCTGATGGAGGTACAGGCCTCCCCCAGTGGGACCCCTCCCAGGATCTGGGGGCTCTCCCCACCCTTCTCTGATGTTCAGAATTTGCACTGTATGTCTTTGTCCTTGCCTGTGCTCAGAAACCCATTCATATGGATGTGGGAACACATTCTAAAGCAGGACAATGGGGGCCATGCTGGGCTTCTCTCCCCCACGGGTCAAAGTCCTGAGCTGCACGCTTTAGAGAGTGCTTCTGTCCTGGGGAAACTGGTGGGCTGGTTTGGGGGCAGAGGGCCCCCAATACAGGCCGCATTCCCTGACCCTGACTTTGGTAATGGTAATAATGTTGAATCTGTGGTTCTGGGTAGGGGGTCTCTGGGCAGCAGCAGCAGCAGAAATGGCCCAGATCTGGCCATTTGACTCTAAACCTGAGCCTTTGGCTAATGGCATCATAAAATTACACTATATATAAAAGGAGCAGTATCAATTTAGTTTGTCCCTTTACTAAGTGAAGTTTAGTAGTAGTTACCAGCAGTACAAAGATGAATATGACATGGTACTTGTCTTCAAAGAACCACAGCCTCTGACGCAATGTCACAAGTAGACTAGGCCTCAGAAGTTGCAAACTGGTGGTCTACAGATATGTTTTATTTGGCTGGCACAGTGTTTAAGTTGTTAAAAATTGGTTCCCAATCTTTTTTTTTCTTAATTAACATTTTTAAAAAAATTAATTAATTTATTTATTTTCGGCTGCACTAGGTCTTCGTTGCTGTATGTGGGCTTCTCACTGATGTGGCTTCTCTTGTTACGGAGCACGAGCTCTAGGCATGCGGGCTTCAGTAGTTGTGGCTCGGGCTTTAGAGCACAGACTCACTAGTTGTGGCGCATGGGCTTAGTTGCTCTGCGGCATGTGGGATCCCCCTGGACCAGGGCTCGAACCTGTGTCCCCTACGTTGGCAGGCAGATTCTTAACCACTGCACCACCAGAGAAGACCCAGTTGCCAATCTTTTAATATGGGAAATTTCTTATAAAAATCTAGACTTCTGGCTTCAATTGGAAAACCAACATGGCAACATGGGGTCCATACCCATCACTTCTCACGGGACTCGCACCAGTGCCCACTTCTCTCCTTCTGTCACCCGCCTGGCCATTCCGGGCACTGCATTGAGACCCCTGTGCTAGGAATAGCAAGAGGGGAGCAATTAATTCTGGAAGCAGGTGAGAGAGTGGGTGAGTCCTCTCAGGTGCGGTGACTTCCCAGGTGCCATCTCGACAGCCTGCATGGGAGATGGTGGTGGCCACAGGGGCTGTGGCAGGGAGGGTGGGATGAGATGAGAGCCTTATGAGCTGGAGGATGGGCTGCACTTGGCTTTGCAGCATTCAGGAACGTGAATCATGAATGAGAGCTCCAGGTCAAGTTTTCCAGCAGGAGATGAAACTGAAATAGCTGCAGGAGAGAACTCAAGTCTGAAGATCTCTGTATCAAGCATGAATTATGTTACTTGAGGACTGGGGATCCTGTTGAAACGCAGATTCCAGTCCAGCAGATCTGGGGGTAGGGGAGGGACTCTGCATTTCTAACAAGCTCCTGGTCCCTGGACTGTACTTTGAGCGGCTGGGGCTTAGAACAGAGGTTGTGATCCTAGTGGGCTGTGGGCCAAATTTGGCCTGGGAAATAAGGTTTTTCTGGGTTGCATAGTGTTTACATTAAAAAAAAAGTTGCTAACAGCTTAAAATCAGGCATTTTCACATAAAAGTCTGAATCTGTCTTCACCACTCATCATTCTCTATTACATCACTGAATTTTATTTTATTATTTTTCATAATTGAATCTTGCTTGTTAATTGATTTTTTACTTGTTCATTGTGCATCTCCACTAGGCTGTGAATTCCATGTGGGCAGGACCTTGTCTGCTTGTTTGCCCCTGCTTCCCTTGAGCCTAGAACAATGTCTGGCACACAGTCTATACTCTCTATATTTATTATTTGTCAAGTGAACTAGCACATCTGCTTTCCTGTGTGCTCACAGTGAGTGCCACTGTCCACACTTGGCCTTCTTCACTCACTTCTGTTACCTCCTGATGAAGGTGGACTCAGGAAAATGCCCTTGGGAGTCCCCTAGGTTTAGGGGATCTGAGAAGGAGGAAGAAGAATGAAAGCAGGAAGGAGAACCAGAAGAGTGAAGGACCAGAAGAGAGAAGGCCCAGAGGCCAGGGGAGGAAGGACTACGGAAGGGGATGCTGGGCTGTCAGTGCTGCAGCGGGCGGAGGGCGATGGGAGCGAGGGAGGGCAGGCCTCTGGAGGAAGCTACTGGCCGTTGAGAAAGCAGGAGAGGAAAGGCACTACCCCAGAGCAATTTGGTGCTATCCAGAAAGTGTGGAGGCAGTATCTCAAGATTGCAGTTGGGCTTTGGGAAGTTTTTAGGGGAGGGCAGTAAGTTTCGAGCCCCTGTGTAGACAGAGTATAAGGACCTAGTGGTGAGAAAGAGAGTGAAGATATAAAAAGGACTGGGAATAATGGGTGCCACCCCACCTAAGGCAGGTGGAAGGCTGTGATGGGCTGCAGATGGAGGGATTGGAAAGGAAGAATTAAAAAACCCTTTCCTTAGGATAAGGGGGAGGGAGCAGGAAAAGCAAACTCCCAAGAAATGTGTGCTCCTAAAAGGTCTCCACTTAGGGGAAAACTCTAAAAACTTTCCATATAATCCATGCAAGCATAGGTTTGGAAATGTATCCAGTTTAATAAGTGATTTGTCCTTAATATCATTTCAGCTGTGAGGGATCTGAGAGACTTTAGCCCAAGGTTTTCCTTTAAGGCAGTAAGGGGAAATGTCTTCCCTGTGATAACTGTCATGACCAGGCTCTTGTCTTTCTGTGGGACTCATCTTCCTGGTGTTCTGGTAACCTCTGCTGTTGCCGGCCATCTCAGGTCTGGCTAGTCATGGCCTGGCAGAGCCATTAAAGTGTGGATTCAGGAATTTGGCTGGTTTTTAACACTGGCACTGCTGGGTTAAATTGGGCATTTCTTAATTTCTTGGTGACTCCATGTCATCACCTGTAAAATGGGAATAACAATAATATTTCCTGTCTCATAGGATGGTTTTTGAAGATTGAATAAGATACTGCAGATAAAATATGCAGGGGTGTCTTGCACACAGTACTCAACAAATGTTAGCTATTATCATTGGAGGTTATAGTTGTTGATTAATAAATGTAGGTAAAACATACTTTTACATTCTAAATATTATTTGACATTCTTTGAAAATATCCTCTGTGTGTAGGTAGTGAATGAAAGAGGGGGAGAGAGAGAAAAAGCGAGAGAGCAACTGATTTTTGCTGGTGAAAAGTTTGGAGCCATCTAGGCCAATATACTATTAGAACTGAAGATGCTCTTCTGAGAGGTGAAGTGACTTGCCCAAGGTAATACCAGTAGTAATGGAAGAAACAAGTCTAAATACTATGTTTTTTGAATCTCAAGCCAGTGCCTTTTCCGCTCTACCTCACTTCCAGGTATGGCTTGTTAGTTTTTCGGAACTCATCCCAAATTATGTCCTAATTCAACTTTGTCTAAGTTCGTCCCAGTAAACAAAAAGAGCAAGAGCTTGGACGAGAAGAGCAGTCCTTCCGGCCAGTAGATGGCGCGCAGGCACTGCAACCGGGGTGGGTGGAGGCTGAAGGGGCCGCAAACTTTCCTTTAATTGGTCAAAGAGCCTCGGCCCACTATCCAATCAGAAGCGGCTGCTTCATCACATTACTGGGCCGGGCGGCCGCCCGCGGAAATTTGAAATGGCTGACGGGCTGCTGGCTGGTGGTGGGTTGGGGTCGGAGGCGATGGCGCGGGACCATGAGCGCACCGGCTGGGCTGCGGAAGAGGAGCCGGCGCCCCTCGTGAAAGGTGAGCACCCGTCGTGACGGGCCGGCGGAGCCGCCGCCTGCGACAGACCGTGTCGGCAGCTCGGGGGGCGTCGGGACTCTCCGAGGGCGCTTGGGGCGTAGGCCTTCCGGACCTTGCTGGCCAGGGTGGCGGCGGTGGCTGGGCGACGCCCCGACGTCGAAGTCAGGAGGTACCTAGGGCAACTCCCCCCGCCCAATCTGGCCTCAGCTTCCTCGAGCCTGGAGGGAACTGGGCCGGGCCGGGAATTCCTACTTTTGCTGTCTGGGTGGGCCCCCCGGGCTTTGTGCACGCGTTTGTGAGTCCAGAGTGGGCGCATTTTTAAAATTTGCATCTCAAAGGAGATCACGTACCACACTTCCCTTTACCGAAAGAGAAGAAACTTGAACGCTTGGCCTAGTTGGCTGCATCTAAGCCTGCACTGAGCATTGAGGGCAGGTGACATGCCCAAGGGTAGGGGAGCCAATTTGGGACAGAGTCTAAAAGTAGAACCCAGGTCTAATTCTCAGTCCTTTCTACCTCTTCATGGAGACTCCGTTTTTTCCCCCTGATATTTTAAGGTGGTTTTACTTTAGCATTTTCAGTTGTATTGTGTAGTGGAAAGAGTCCTGGAGAAGTGAGAGAACATAGGTGTGACTTAACTCCTCTACCAACCACTCTTGTGAGCTGGCAACAGTCACTTGGCTTCAGTTTGCCCATCTGGAAAACAGGTAGTGGTGCTACGGAGCGGTGAAGATGAAGTGAAATAATGTGTGAAAAGAAATACTTTCAAATTGGATCTAAAGAATTGTGCTGAAGTAAGGTGTTCTTTTTAATTGTAAGACACACATAACAAAATTTACCATCTTAACCATTTTTAAGTGTACAGTTCAGTGGTATTAAACACATTCACATTGTTGTGTAGCCATCACCATCCTCTGTTACCATGGTTCTTTTCAACTTGTAAACTGAAACTCTATACCTATTGAATAAACCCCCTATCACCCCTCCCCCCAGCTCCTGGCAACCACCATTATACTTTGTCTTTATGATACGATTTTGACTAAGTACCTCATATCAGTGGAATTGCACAGTATTTGTCTTTCTGTGACTGGCTTATTTCACGCAGTATAATGTTCATCCAACACTTGTAATTTCCTTCCTTTTTTTTTTTTTGCCGTACGGGGGCCTCTCACTATTGTGGCCTCTCCCGTTGCGGAGCACAGGCTCCGGACGCGCAGGCTCAGCGGCCATGGCTCACGGGCCCAGCCACTCCGTGGCATGTGGGATCCTCCCGGACTGGGGTACGAACCCGTGTCCTCTGCATCGGCAGGCGGACTCTCAACCACTGCGCCACCAGGGAAGCCCTCCTTCCTTTTCAAAGCTAAATAATTTTAGCTATTGTGAATAATGCTGCTATGAACATCGGTGTACAAATATCTCTTGGACACCCTGCTTTCAGTTCTTTTGGAAATTGCTGGGTCATATGGTAATTCTATTTAAAAACTTTTGAGGAATCACCATACTGTTTTCTGCGGTGGCTGAACCGTTTTACATGCCTACCAACAGTGCACAAGGGTTCCTGTTTCCCCATATCCTCGCCAACACTTGTTTTCTTTCTTTCTTTTTTTTTTTGCGGTACGTGGGCCTCTCACTGTTGTGGCCTCTCCCGTTGCGGAGCACAGGCTCCGGACGCGCAGGCTCAGTGGCCATGGCTCACGGGGCCCAGCCGCTCCGCAGCATGTGGGATCTTCCTGGACCAGGGCACGAACCCGTGTCCCCTGCATCGGCAGGCGGACTCTCAACCACTGCGCCACCAGGGAAGCCCAACACTTGTTTTCTTGATAGTTTTTCTTGTTGTTTGTTGGATAACAGTCACCTAATGTGTGTGAGATGATGGTATTATTTCTTTAACAAACATTTATATCTATGTTATGTGGTGGGTACTGTTGTAAGTGATTAACATATAGTTTATTCTCTTAATTTTATTGAAGTTGGCATACTGTTTTCATCTTCCTTTAGGTACAGAGAGGTTGTTACACAGCAGGTGAGGTATTGATGTCCTTCTGAGGCTCAGGTGCATTGATAATCTGTAAGCAGGAAGCCCTTCACTACACCTTGGTCATCTTGTTGCCATGTCCAAACTTGTACTGCTTGCTGCACGACAGGCCAATGAATTGAGAGACGAGTTGTTGGGGCAAGGAATAGAGACTTTATTTGGAAAGCCAGCTGACTGAGAAGATGGTGGAATACAGTCCCAAAGAACCATCTTGCCAAAGTTAGAATTCAGGCTTCCTTTATACTAAAAGGGGAGAGGTTGTGGCTGGTTGTTGCAAACTTCTTGGTGTCAGAATCCTTTGTTCTTGCATCTATCCAGGTAGGTCAGGTCAGGATGTTCCTGTAAACCTACAAGACAAATGTTATTCTCTGTTTAGCAACTTTTTATCTCTATATGAGTGGAAAAGTGTTATACCTTTAAAGGTCAGAGCTTTGAGAAGAGGCTATCCTGTGTATTTCAGGCTATAGGCAACATTCTTGTATCAAAAGCAATAGGATACAAAGGGTAAAGTACAAGAAACAGATCCAATATGGAGTCAGATTTGTTCTTCCCTATTACAGTCTGTGGGGTCACATAATTCTGGTGGCCTGAACAGGGGCAGAGAAGTGGAAGGAGGGAGAAAAGGAAGGAGAAATATAAGAGGTAAGGGAAGAGAAAGACTGCTGCTAGTAATTGTCTCAGATACCCTTCCTGAGACCACAGGAAAGAACTTTGCCAGTCTAAATGCTACCCTCAGCATTTATTTAGTAGTCGTTTTGTCTATTAAAAACATTGTATTGCACAGAATTAGATATGTCACTGGCCCAATCACGCCTTGTGAAACATAATTACATACAGCCCAAACCTCATGCAATTAGCATTTTCTAATCCTTTCCTTAGACACAGGCATTGAAATTAGTCAGATGGAACCTAGAAGCTTTGGTGAAGTAAACCTTATGCATTATTAACAATCTCTCATCCCTGTTTATTGAGGGGCATTGACAAGCTGATATTGTAGAAATTAGAGGGAGGTTTCAGTTTGTTTGAGATGGAGTATAGGAAATCAGCTCCGTATTTAATGCAGCTTTATGGAATTGTTTTGGAAAAAAATGACTGTAAGCTATGTGACCATTATAACTTGCTAGCTCTAGTAATAATCATAGCCGTGTCCTCTGAAGGAGAGCTTGGGTGATTCCCACTTAATTAAAAACAACCCTCTTCCTCACAGAAGAGCAACAAAAACCTAACCCATGAAGGATTGTAAGTCCTTATTGTTTTGAAGTAGAACTTGGATTTTGAGATATTTTTAAATTTAGAAAACTGTTTTTTTCTGACAATGATAGAGGTAAGTAAAGCATTATACCCAAATCCTTGTTTTTATTTGTTTGGAATTTCTAAGCAAGTATATGAAAATAGAAGCAGTTTATAAGCACTGGAAGTGTCTGGGATAGTTGAGCCTGCCTATTTTTGTTCTCTTAGGTTTGTTCGAAGATGAAGATTCATGCAGTGATTGTAGCAATCATGATAAACCAGGTACTAGTTTACAAAGTTTTGTGCCAGAAGGAAAAACTCATTTCCCAGAAATGTTCCAGACAAGTCATCTTTTGTTCTATGAGCGATTCAGAGCTTATCAAGATTACATTTTAGGTGAGTAGGTCCTCTTTTTTGCTTCTTTTGTCTTTTAATTTATATGTATTCAGTAGATGGTCTCAGTTCCTCAGACTGCTGTTTGTTGGTTCTGAGAAAGTAGATTTGAGTGGATTTATTAACTTCTCTCTCCTTTATGCAGCCCCAATTCTTATTGTGTTTAATTTTTTTGTAGCTGACTGTAAGGCCTCTGAGGTAAAAGAATTCACAGCTGAGTTCTTAGAGAAGGTCCTTGAACCATCTGGATGGCGGGCAGTCTGGCACACTAATGTGTTCAAGGTGCTGGTTGAGGTAAATTTAATTCTGTTGTTAAGACATTTATCTCTAGCTAAAAACACTTTCCCTCAGACTGTTGTAGCCACAGTGCTTATTTTTAATTAAGGTTTATGAGCTGATTGAAAATAGCATGTTTTTTACATCTAACTGCCACGGTGTATGAAGTGTTCCACAAATTTTAAAGGCAACTGAGGAGGAGCTACCAGGGAATTGAGGTGGTTTAAGCTTCAGTGTCCTTTAAAAAGGGGAAATGGATTAGAAACCTATGAAGTGAGGGAGGTATTTGAGACCGTTTAAAAAACAAAGAGGCCTAATTATAAAGTCAGTGGGGTTTGAATTGATTTTTTACCTTCTTAGTTGTAGCCCATTAAAGTAGCTCAAACCAAGTGGGCATTTTAAAACTAGCCTATTTTTTGCCTGACAAAGTTGTAGGTATGTGGTTAACCTCTTGATGTTCCATTGCAGAAAGTAAAAACAATCTTATTTTTCAACTGACTGGGCCTTTTACATTAAATTTGCACTCTAATTACAGCTGTGAATTTTTCTCAGTGTGTATTAACAGGACCACAACACCCGCCCCCCCACCCCGCTCCGTTAAACTAAAATGGTAAACCAGGGAGTGTGAATGAATACAAGTTGTGGCTGCAGCCCCTTTAGAAAATGACATCACATGCTGCAGTGACTATATATGAGGCAATGGTTTGCAAGCAGCTGTTCCTCGTGGATTTTTAAATTTTGGGTTATGCTAATGTCTTTGGTTGCAGTTCAGACCTATTAATTTGATTATGATAGTAGCTCCCTTCCCCCAACACATCTCAATTCTCTAAAAGCAGTCCAAGTCATTGTTTTAAAAGAGAAATGCGCCAGCCATTCCTCTGCTTAAAAACCTCTAATGCATTGCATTTACCAAAGGCCTGTGCTGGCTTTTTGGCTTCTCATTGTGCTAGATAACATGTAAAAGCCAAGCTCCTTCCAATGCCCTTCCTGTCCTGATCTTGCCTCTCTCTCACCTCACCTCCTGCTGCCCGTACCTCATTTCCTTCCTATGGTTCCAGCAAGAAACACTGCTTCTCTGCCAGCTGCCAAGCTTGTCTCTGCCCCAGGGCATTTTGCATCTTTCCTGCTCTTCACAGGGCTGCTTCCTTTTCATCCTTTTTATCACAGTTCAGAAGTGACTTCCCCTACCCTCCCAGTAAAACCAGACCACCACCCCTGCTACTTATTCTCTGTCACATACTTGTTGCCATCTTGTTTGTTTATTTGTCCTCTCAATTACGATGTCAGCTCCATGAGGGTACAAGCCAAGCCTGTCTTGTTTATCCTTTATGTTACGGAAGAAGGCTCCCCACTCCCATTTCATGCTTTAAAAAAATCAGGCTGTAAGTAGTGTTTTAGATGTATCAGAATTTTGATTTGCATATGTTAAGTCACATTATTTTAAATTTCAGATCACAGATGTGGACTTCGCAGCCTTGAAGGCAGTGGTGAGGCTTGCTGACCCATACCTCTGTGAATCTCAAGTCAGCACTTTTACTTTGGAGTGTATGAAAGAGCTCCTTGATTTGAAGGAACACCAGTTGCCCCTGCAGGAGCTGTGGGTGGTATTTGATGATTCTGGAGTGTTTGACCAGACAGCACTTGCAATTGAGCATATCAGGTAGGAAAAAAGGTTGATAAAAGTAACCTTGTGGCCAAAAACTTTGGATGAAATGCAGTAATTCTGGTCTGTATTATACCTAGATTTAAAACTCAAACTGTAAACTTGGTCACTGCAATATTTAAAAATATCCAAAGACAGTGGAAACTTTTTAAAATTAAAAAAATGTTTTCAATGTTTAAAATTGTCAATTTGAGGTAATTTCAGACTTACAGAAAATTTGAGAAAAGTAGTACTAGGGATTCCTGTATAGCCTTCTCTCAGTGTCCCCAAATGTTAACAAAAGATAGGGGACTTTAAAATTTGGTTTGTATATATTTAGAAACTGTCTTAAAAGTTCTGGATGCTAAGGCTATAGTTGATGTACTTGAACATAAGAGGAAAGGAAAGAAGGTAAAGAAGGTGGTATACCATCACTTGTGCACTGATAAGCCTGACATATAGTGTTTTCAAGGATATGTCTGGCCAAAGAATGTGTTTTGTCAGGCCACTTCCAGGATCCTTAGGGGGTATGTGCATGCCTTTCAACCTTTTTTGACTTAGTCGGTTTCCACTTGCATTAATAGGTATGCTTTTTTTAGTTTTTCAGATAACTTTTTTGTCAGATGGTTCCTAATACAGATAGTTCTTTTGAATCTTCTTTTTATAAGTATATTTACTAAGGAAGGCTTATTTTTGGCTAATTAAATATGGACTTAGGGGCTTCCCTGGTGGCGCAGTGGTTGAGAGTCTGCCTGCCGATGCAGGGGACACGGGTTCGTGCCCCGGTCCGGGAGGATCCCACATGCTGCGGAGCGGCTAGGCCCGTGAGCCGTGGCCGCTGAGCCTGCGCGTCCGGAGCCTGTGCTCTGCAACGGGAGAGGCCACAGCAGTGAGAGGCCCGCGTACCGCCAAAAAAAAAAAAAAAAGGACTTATATTCCTCCATGAACTGGAAGATTGGATAATATAAAGGTCATGTTAATAATGTTGCTTGGTGTTTTGTAGTTCAAAAAGTACTTTCCAGTTTCTATACCGTTAGTGAGTGAACCTGGTTTTGCTGAGCTTAATTTGATACTCTACAAAGAAGCAGAGTGTCTTGGGCCCTGCTTCTGACATTTCATAGAAAATTTCAAATTGTATGCAAGGACATTGGACTTGCATACAATGCAAGGACTGTAGGTATTCCATATTAGGCCAAACAATATAAATCTAAAGAACTGGCTTATGTCTAGAACCAAAATAACTCTCTTATGTTTCTCTAACTTAAAAAATCTGTCAGTTGAGGCATATGAAGGTAAAGGGATAATTGATGAGTTTAGGAAATTAGGAATCAGGGAGCTAATCTCTTATGGGTATAGAAGTTGATAGAAAGACAAGTATCTGGAATTAGTAATAGTATTATTTGAAGGCAGGCCTGGCTAAATTATTCTTTATTTTGAGGTGAGGGCTCAGATTCTGGTCAGTGTCCAGAAAAGGTCAAATTATGAGGGTTTTCATATGTTCATTTTATTCAGTAAGTATTTCAGTGCCAGGTCCTGAGTTGAGGGTGAGATTTGACTGGTGCACAAAACAGACACAATCACCATCACCAGGGAGACGTCAGTCTAAAGGTGGGAGATGAACCTTGATGAAATAATCACATAAAGATATGTGTACAATTGGAAACTGCAGTGAGTGCTGTGAGGGATTACAGAGTGTTCTAAGACTAGGTCAGGTTGCTGTAATACGGTTATTTCCTGAGGAAATGGTATTTGAACTTGGGTCTGAAGGGTTGGCTAGGTGAAAGTGGTTGTGGCAGTTTAGGGGAGGGAACAGGTTCAGGAACTCAGTGAGTTTAAGGAGCCGGAGGGCCAACATGGTTAGAACATAGACAGTAATGGAAGAGACTTAGGAAACCAGCTTAGAGGTTGTCGAGGGTCCGAAGATGCAGGGATTTGTCAGCCAATGGACAATTTTTGTCTTTAAGAGCAGTGGGAAACCGCTGAAGGGTTTTCAATCAAGGATGAATATGATCAGCTTTGTGTTTTAAAAGGTTTGTTCTGGCTGCTGTGTAGAAAGTAAATGGAGGGGGAAGGGGTAGAGAGATCAGTTAAGAGGCAGAGTGGACTAGGGTGAAGATATGGAGAGTACAGATTAGGCTTATTGAGAAAGTAGGATGGCTAAGACTTGGTGGTAGAGTGGATATGGAAGAAGTCAAGGCTGACTCCCAAGTTTCTGTCTTGAGAGAATAAACACTGGAGGAGGTGCAGATGTGAATGAAATGTGAATGCCTGGTACTGAACTGGTGAGGATATTTGAGCTGGGTCATGAAGTGTAAATATAAGCTTACCAGGTGGAAAAGGTGGAAGGCAGTCTGACCAGCATGTCACAGTGGCTTTGAAAGAGCTTGTGAAATTGGTAGTTTGCACACAGGGTCTCTGAGGCAAGAGAGGTGCTCTAGAGGTGGACTGTGAGTCCATGTAATATCACCAAGCTCAGGAATTTGGACTTTGTTCTGAGGACAGCAAGGAGCCAGCAGAGTTTTTTGGTTGAGTAAAGGCATGCTCAGGTTTGGTTTTTTTTTGGTTTGTTTTTGAGAGATGGACTCTAGAGGGTGAAGAGAATGACAGTCTAATCTATAAGAATTAAGAGATGGCTTCATTTTCACTGCTCCTTCCTTTTCAACTTTTTGACAGTTATATCGTCTGTACTTCCTGGCATTCCACTAATGCTTCTACTCCTACAGTACCATTGAAATTGTGCTTAAGGTCACTCATATTCTCATATCCAGTCGTCACTCCTCTGATCTCATCTTACCTTGACCTTTTGGTCACATTCTAATTATTTGATCATTCCCATCTTCTTAACATACTCTACTCTCTTTCCAGTTTCTGGGACACCACTTTATGATAGTGTGTCATGGGCTTGCTTTCTTAATAATCTTGGCCAGCTCTTTCCTCTCATGCTCAAACTTTAGAATGTTGAAGTTACCCAGGGCTCAGGCCTAGGCTATCTACACTTCTCTCTCTCTAATCAGCTTTGAAAGCACATTAGAATCTCCTGGAAATTTTCTTTATAGGAGTATTCCAACTACTACATGAAGAAAGAGTGATAAGATGAGAATATCAGTATTTTGCAACCCATAATAAAGTAGAGGTTTCAGGCAATGATCATCAATGGCTGCTACAGCCATTGGTGAAAACCTGATAGGGAACTTCGTGGCAGATAAATCAGGCTGACAATATCTGAATCCACTGATCATTCTTAAGCTCATCATCAAAAGAGATGACCAGGTATCATGTGCTTGGTGATGAAGCTACATTATACCTCCCTTGAAGTATTCTTGCCAAAAAGTCTTTCCTAAAGACGATTAAGTCCCTAGTCCTTACTATCAGTTTACTAGAAATAAAGGAAACAGAAGGACATGTTAACTGACCCCATGGGGAAGCAATCAGTAAAATTCAGAGTGTGGGAAACTATTAAATAAATTGCAAGGTGAAAAAGAGGGATGGATAATCTATAGAGTAAAAGTGATTTAATTAAATTCAATGGCTGACCCTTGTTTGGACCCTGATGAGCAAGCCAACTGTAAAACAACAACAGCAACAACAAAAGAGATAATTAGGGAAAACTGAACACTGACTGGATACTTGGTTATTAAGGAATTAAAACTTTTTTTGTATAAAGATTTATTTTAGAGGCACATACTGAAAATTTATGAGTGATATGATATGTCAGAAATTTGCTTTAAAATGATCCAGTGTCAGGATGGTGGGGGTAGGAGAGCAGAGAAGTAAGTGGGTGGAGTAGAGGTGAAATAAGATTGCCTGTGAGTTGATAATTGTTGAAGCTGGTGATGGATACATGGTATTCATGTTTTCATGTTTGCTCTTGTATATGTTTGAAATTTTCCATGATGAAAAATTTGTTAAATCACTTTGGGGAGCTTTAAAAAAGTATGGATCCTGCACCCTCCCTCCCCCATCCCCCACCCAAGAGATTCTGGTGTATTGGTCTGGAATAGGGTTGAAAATCAATTTTTAAAAGTTTCCCAGGGGACTCTAATGGGCAGCTAGGGTTGACAACTACTGCTTTATTTTATGTCCCTGGATGATCTCACCTATTGCTCTAATGCCATCAATATGCTGACAACTTCCAGATTTATGTCTCTAGCCCTGACCTTTTCCTTGAGCTCTGGTCTTGTATATTTATCTGCACTCTTGACATCATCCATTTGGAGTTCAAATAGGCATCTCAACCTGAACATGGTGAAAACAGAACTCTTTATTTTCAACCCTAAACTTGTTTCTCTCCCAGTCTTTTCTATCTTAACAAATGGCACTACTTTCCACCAAGTTACAGATGGTCAATAAATAGTTCTTCTGATAAAAAGAAGGTCCTAATAGAATCAGTGGTGTAGAAAACTTCTTTAGCCAATCCAAAGAAGTTCATGTGTGACTCATGACTATCAAATCTAGCAAATATTCAGTCTTCTCTACCATACTTGATAGACTTGTTTTGATTTACTCTTATTCCTCCAAAACCCTAACATTTTAAGCCAGTGATTGAATTTGAGTGATACTAATTTCCTTTCCAGGTTTTTCTATCAGAACATTTGGAGGAGTTGGGATGAAGAAGAGGAGGATGAGTATGATTATTTTGTTAGATGTGTTGAACCTCGATTGAGATTGTAAGTATTTATTAGTGGCCTTGTACATGTTGGAAAAAATAGCTATTTGTGATTTAATTTCACCTGTGTTTTGTATATACTGTATATATACTCCTACAGATAGAAACAGACTGATATACAAATAGTATAACCCACTGACAAGTTATTAAATAAAAATTGTACAGGTGCAGAGAAACCTACTTTTAGTGTTTATAAACCTACTTGTAGTGTTTTTAGAATCTAAAAGCAGAGAATTCAAGAACATGTAAATTAACAGCTCACTCTTGTAAATTTGAATAAAACTTAATTGAGCTAATATGTTAAAAAGAAACAACCCGTTACTAAACTCAATAAAAACAATTGAAGAACAGTGAAATTAATTGAATTATAGAAGACTTTTTTTTTCTTGAGTACTTTTAAAGACATGGCTTTACTCTTAAGTTCTTACAGGAAAACATAGTAGGCTAAACAGACTTACCTCAGGATGTTTTGTCAAGTTCTTTTCCTTAAATCTTATTTGATAAATAGATGAAAATACTAAATAGTTAATATTGATGGTGAATAAAAATTTCCAAAATACATTCTACTGACTTATCATATTTTGGTAGGGAAAAACCCTTCCATTATAAAAATACCCCAAATTAACCATGCAACCCAAATAGTTGTCCTGCACTGACTTTGTTAAATGTGGCTTCCACTAGATGGTGCTATAAGACCAGGTAACTTTTTGGTACTTGTGCATAGTAATTTAATATGCAGTGCTGCAATAAGAATAAAATTAGACCTTGCAGGCCAAAAAAAGAAAAAAAAATTGTAGAAGGTAATTTTTTTCCCTGTGTGAAAGATGATTTGGTTACATAAGATAAGGCAGTAACCCTTTACATTTCTGTATAACCAATTTGATTTAGTAAGTTTCTCTTCATTTAAACAGTAAATCATAAGTAAAAAATACGTGAGAAGTCTGGTTAAGGTTGGTTCTACCTGGTTTAGAATTATGTATGTCTGATTTCAGCTTTTCATAAATTGGCTGTGATTTCTATTTAGCCTTTCCAATTTTTCCATTATGCATTTCCTGTTTTCTCATAGTATATTCAGTAAAATGCCAGAATTTCAAGAAGCTTGCATATTTTCTAGTTTTGATATACTTGCTTTTAAAGAGCAATGATTGGTTTTGATTGAAGGGAAATGTAATGGTGGATGAATATCATGTATCTGGCAAATTTGATCTTTACTTGGAAAATAACTGTATTCCGATTTGACAGTCTTACATGTTCAAACAACAAGAAATGATTTACATACATATCTTATACATCACTGGCAGATGGGAAAGCATAAGGGAGGAATTGTTTTCAGTTATGGAGAAGAAACTATGGTACTTGATGGGGAAACTGGAATGTTATCAAATATAGGCAGACTCTTTAAAAGGTCCCTAGGCTAAGACAGGAGTAGAGCTATTCACAGGCAAGAGTTAAAGGGAATCAAACCATATTGTCTTGATTTTGCACTGTGAAGTAAATATTTTTCCTTTCTAATTCAAAACACTCTGCTTCAGAGCTTATGGGTCTGAGACGCAGATGTTGGTTCATTACTTTCAGACTATGAAGTATCACTATAATGAGAAGAAATAAGCTGATTGGCATGGATATTGGAAATGCTAAGAAACTAATTTTAAAATTTGAGTCTTAATCTTTGTAACTTAGTAGATCTGATCAAGCAGTCAGTGGTTGGGCCCCCAATTTCTTGCTTGCAAAGTGGATTTCTAGAATATCTTTAAATGAGTATGGATTAACCAAAGCAGACAAAATCCTTGCTTTTCAAGCTTCACCTAATTCATTTACTTGAAAAGTGGAAAAAATATTTTCTATTCATCTTAGATACTATTTAAATGTTCACTGTAACTTGATGTAAATTTGTTTAGGTCTTATTTAGAGCGTGACGAAGTTAAGAAGACATTATCTAAGGCAATCGTACTCAACCTTGGCTGCACATTAGAATTCCCAGGGAACTTTAAAAAATACCCCTCTACTTTTAGAGACTAATTTAATTGGTCTGGATGGGGACCTGATCATCTGTATTTTTAAAAGTTCCCCAGTGATTCTAATAAGCAGCCAAGGTTAAGAAGCTCTGGCCTAAGTCAGTATGCTTTTAACTGAGAAATAAAGCAATTATTTTAAAATGACAGGTAATGACAATAATATTGCAGTTTACTTTCAGATCCATTAATTTCATATCCATTAACTTGATTGTACATTCATAAATTATTGTATCTAGAAGTACTTTTTGTTCTGTCTATATATTTGAGAAGGTTTATAAATTAATAATAAACTTTAAGTGCCAACACAGTTGTCCAATACAAGGTTATTTTGTTTTAATCACTCTCTGGTTAGTAATAACAGCTTTATTTTTTTCTCAGAATCTCAAAGGCTTATGTTTTTGAAATACTCTAATAATCTTCCTGAGGGAATATTCAGCAAATTCTGCTCCATAGTGCTTTATTTATTTATTTAATATTTTATTTATTTATTTGGCTGCACTGGGTCTTAGTTGCGGCACGTTAGAACTTTAGTTGCAGCATGCGAACTCTTAGTTGCGGCATGTGGGGTCTAGTTCCCTGACCAGGGATGAAACCCGGGCCCCCTGCATTGGGAGTGTGGAGTCTTAACCACTGAACCACTAGGGAAGTCCCCTCCATAGTGCTTTAAATGCAGGGAAGGGGGACTTCCCTGGTAGTCCAGTGGTTAAGAATCTGCCTTTCAATGCAGGGGATGTGATTTCAATCCCTGGTCGGGGAACTAAGATCCCACATACTGTGGGGCAACTAAGCCAGTGTGCCACAACTACCATGCCCATGTGCCACAGCTAGAGAGCCCGCGTGCCACAACTACTGAGCCCGTGCGCTCTGGAGCTCGTGTTCCACAACTAGAGAGCCCATGTGCTGCAACTACTGAGCTCGCGCACTCTAGAGCCCCTGCGCCACAAATAGAGAGAAGCCTGTGCGCTGCAATGAAAGGCCCATGCACTGCAACAAAAGATCCCACATACCGCAATGAAGATCCCGTGTGCCTCAACTAAGACCTGATGCAGCCAAATAAATTAAAAAAAAAAAACTAAACTAAATTAAAAATAAATAAGTATAGGGAAGGACTAGATGATTTGAATCATTTAAAATTTTTGATCCTATAAATGTGGTAATCTTAAACATTGTTATGAAACTACTTGGGATACTATCCTCACCACTCCTACCTCCAGGTTGCCCTCTGCCACCCACTTATTAAGATTTTGAATCTAATATATGAGAAAATAATTTCTTGTTAAGTAATGATTACAAATTGTGCAACATGAACTCTCAGTGTTTCAAAAATACAAATGCTTGGATCTAAGGAAAAAAAAAATAGCAACTCCTCAAAAGAGAAAAGTTAGTGACCTTAATGAAGTGGTCCTTAAAGCTTTCAATAGCTTTCACCTACTCAGTAAGACTTAACATGTTCCTGAGTTACATACTATGAAACAGTTTTCTTATGGGGTCTTTGAGGACTAAATGGGTGTCTTAATGATGGGAAAATGTGTCTGAAAGGCAGTGGGTTTCAATTTGCTTTTAAACTTTCAGGCATTATGACATTCTTGAAGACCGAGTTCCTTCAGGACTTATTGTTGACTATCAAAATCTGTTGACTCAATGTGAGGAGAGTTACAGGAAATTTTTAAATCTGAGAAGCAGTTTGTCAAATTGTAACTCTGATTCTGAGCAGGAAAACATCTCCATGGTGGAAGGGTTAAAATTGTATTCAGAGATTGAACAGCTGAAACAAAAGCTAAAACTCATTGAGAATCCTTTGTTGAGGTATGTGTATCTTTGTTCTTCCCAACTAGTTGGCATCTTTTCTAACCAGCTATGTTACTGAGAACTGACAGGTCTGTTTGGTTTCTTTAAGATATGTGTTTGGTTATCAGAAGAATTCTAATATACAAGCAAAAGGCATCCGTCCCAGTGGCCAGAAGGTCACCCATGTGGTCTCCTCCACCATGACGACTGGTCTGCTGCAGTCCCTGGTCAGGGATAAGCTTTGTCCAGAGCCTTGTAAGGAAGAAATAGAAATTCAGGTAAAAGAGTTTCTTGCTCCAGGTGGCTTTTTTTTCTTCAGATTCACCCCAGGCTTTCCTGAATTCTACAAACAGTTTTTAGGAGTTTCCCAGAGCTGGTTTTCTGTAAAATGGAAAGCAGTGAGAGCACCGCCTTTCTGCAGTATTAGTCAGTTATCAACCATGCACTGAGCTCAGTGCAGTAGCAAGGGAGATACCTACATACGCAGTTTTGGCTCCCTTTTGAAAATGAAACATGAAGGCACCTGGAGTAATACTCAGGTTGCATTTGAGGGGTATATATTTGCAATATGTTGTTGTTGTTTTCTAGTTCCATAGTGATCCGTTGTCTGCTATAAATGCCTGCTATGAGGGCGACACTGTTATTGTTTGTCCTGGCTGTTACGTGGTACATGGTACGTTCTCCATCGCTGACTCCATTGAGTTAGAAGGTGAGTATGGAAGATCATACAACCAAACTCTCGTGCATGATACGCTTAAGATAACAGTAAATCACTGATCTTGTTGAAGCTCCAAGAATTTGATTTCGACCTATTTGATTTCAAATGAGTTGCCTTGAAACATTAAGGGTTTTTGGAGTGTACAGGTTATTGACTCAGTGTTTGAGGAACATGAGGTGTGATTCTTTGTGGCATTATAAATGTTGGGAAGACAAAAACATAGAGAAAAAAAGACCATTAGGAAGAAGTATAATTCCAGATTATAGGTGGTTGGTGAAAAGGAAATTCATTATTAGAATTAAAAAAAACATTCCAAGCAATATTTTTTAATTTGTTGCTTCCTCTTATTTCATATATGTTGTGGACATATTGGTGCTTTTTTTTTTAAAATTTAGCTTACTTTTGTAAGGTATAGGTACAACTTGAAATTAGATGCAAAATCTTTATCTTAATTCTTTAAAAGCTTGTTGAATGTCACAAATTCTAAAGTGTACTTTTGAGAACATTAATGTTGAAAGAGTCTTTTAAAAATAACTTTATTTATTTATTTAATTTTTGGCTGCGTGTTGGGTCTTCGTTGCTGTGCGCGGGCTTTCTCTAGTTGTGGTGAGTGGGGGCTACTCTTCGTTGCCGTGCGAGGGCTTCTCATTGCAGTGGCTTCTCTTGTGCAGCACGGACTCTAGGCACGTGGGCTTCAACAGTTGTGGTAGGTGTGCTCAGTAGTTGTGGCTCATGAACTCCAGAGCGCAGCCTCAGTAGTTGTGGCACTCGGGCTTAATTGCTCCGTGGCATGTGGGATCTTCCCGGACCAGGGATCAAACCCATGTCCCCTGCATTGGCAGGCAGATTCTTAACCACTGCACCACCAGGGAAGTCCTAAAAATAACTTTTTAGGAGTTGAAATCTTATTGTACATTTAGAGTGATTCCTAAATTTAGGTTACTTTACAGTAGTTCACCTTGGTCCTTTGTATTTGCATAGCGTGTCAAATTTAGATGCACCTGTTCAACTATTTACCAGAAGAGCTTCAAGTTAGCAATAAAGCTTGTCATGCAAAAAATCATATATCATTTTGGGACTGGAGCAGCTGTTCACAAACTGCTTAAGCTATGTTCTTTAATTTTATCTTTTCGAGAGTTCTTAATGGAAGCAAGGCTGGGAATTTAATTTCCTGCTGTTCACTAGTACACCACCTCATCCCCTTTTTTGTTTTATGTGTGTAATTTTTGTTCTTTTTCCTCTCCAATATTTGATATATAATAGATGTGTGTTTATAAACATCTGCAGGATAAAGCACTGCAATAAAAACACTTCATTTTTTTGGCATAGTGCAAACAGCATTGCTATTACAGATTGTATGGTGGATCAGCATTCTTCCTAGATTGTTGAGGAAATTATAATGTGATTGCCAACATGTCATAAATAAACATATAGAATTCTGACAGTTAAGTGTAAGAATGACTGTAAATTTATGAACAGAGGGCATTTCTGAGAATTTGGGGAATCAGGTGATATCTCTAGTCTGAATATATGGAGTACTTGTTCACGAGTAAGATTAAAGCTTATCTGATAGCTTTTCTGATCTATAGCTGACACTTACAACAAGAGATATATATCGAGTACCTGCTATTTTCAGGGTATTAACAGTACTTATAATAGGATTTTTATTTCTTGTTTAGAAAATCCATTCAGTTAGGCGAGGGCTTTGTGTTTTAAACTGCTAAGATTATGTAACTTGTTTATGTAATAACTTGTTTATATAATGTAATATGGCCATCCTTTTTATATTTTTAATTTTTCACATGATAGAAAGCCACAGCTATTATAAAAATGTGCAAAGTACAGGTACACACATAAAAAGAATCAGGGAAGGACTTTCCTGGTGGTGCAGTGGTTAAGAATCCGCCTGCCAATGCAGGGGACATGGGTTCAATCCCTGGTCCGGGAAGATCCCACATGCCATGGAGCAACTAAGACCACGCACCACAACTACTGAGCCTGTGCTCTAGGGCCTGCAAGCCACAGCTACTGAGCCCGTGTGCCGCAACTACTGAAGCCCACGCACCTACAGCCCGTGCTCTTCAACAAGAGAGGCCACCGCAGTGAGAAGCCCGTGCACCACAACGAAGAGTAGACCCCGCTCGCCTCAACTAGAGAAAGCCCATGCACAGCAATGAAGACCCAATGCAGCCAAAAATAAATATATAAATTAAAAAAAAAAAAAAAAGAATCGGGAAAGAAATTTACTCACAATCTGATCATCCAGAATCCACCACTGGTAGCATTCCTGTGTGTGGAGTCCTCTTGCATTCTCTAGTGTCCCCAAAGGCTTGTCTGTACTCTTCAAGTGTAGAAAACTTTAGTGACTTTGCCTGTTTAATGTTGTCACTGCTTTCATTTACTCCAGCAAAAACTCAACTTTAGACAGTGAGAGTTATTTCTTAAAGCTTTGTCTATGTGATTCTGTTTTATGATAAAAGTCAGGCAGGGTTTTCTAGTTTTCTGATACTCCAGTTTTTCATAAACCCATTCAGAGGTCTGACCTGTATTATTCGTTTGATTAAGATTTGTAGATCCCACTACTGGGCATATACCCTGAGAAAACCATAATTCAAAAAGAGTCATGTACCAAAATGTTCATTGCAGCTCTATTTACAATAGCCAGGACATGGAAACAACCTAAGTGCCCATCATCGGATGAATGGATAAAGAAGATGTGGCACATATATACAACGGAATATTACTCACCCATAAAAAGAAACGAAATTGAGCTATTTGTAATGAGGTGGATAGACTTAGAGTCTGTCATACAGAGTGAAGTAAGTCAGAAAGACAAAGACAAATACCGTATGCTAACACATATATATGGAATTTAAGAAAAAAAAATGTCACGAAGAACCTAGGCATAAGACAGGAATAAAGACACAGACCTACTGGAGAACGGACTTGAGGATATGGGGAGGGGGAAGGGTGAGCTGTGACGGCGATTGAGAGGCGTGGACATATATACACTAACAAACGTAAGGTAGATAGCTAGTGGGAAGCAGCCGCATGGCACAGGGATATCGGCTCGGTGCTTTGTGACCGCCTGGAGGGGTGGGATAGGGAGGGTGGGATAGGGAGGGTGGGAGGGAGGGAGACGCAAGAGGGAAGAGATATGGGAACATATGTATATGTATAATTGATTCACTTTGTTATAAAGCAGAAACTAACACCATTGTAAAGCAATTATACCCCAATAAAGATGTTAAAAAAAAAAAAAGATTTGTAGAGAACAAAGTTTTTTATTGGTTAACAAGGTAGACCTATCTTTCCAATAGCTAAAACTGTTCTAAGTCAGTTTGTCAGATTTTGTCAATCTGTTTAAGAGAATATAAAATTTAGAAAATCTTGAGAAATGCCTAGGCTTTTTCAAACCTAATTACGATAGAATAATAGAATCTTAGAGTTGGGAAATAAAAAACTTGTAGGGCTAAACGCTTCAAAGCCCTCTGACCCAGCTGTGAGTACTTAGATTATTACTATTTTTTTAAACTTATTTATTTATTATTATTTTTTAACATCTTTATTGGAGTATAATTGCTCTACAATGGTGTGTTAGTTTCTGCTTTATAACAAAGTGAATCAGCTATATGTATACATATATCCCCATATCTCCTCCCTCTTGCATCTCCCTCCCACCCTTCCTGTCCCACCCCTCTAGGTGGTCACAAAGCACCTAGCTGATGTCTCTGTGCTATGCAGCTGCTTCCCACTAACTATCGATTTTACATTTGGTAGTGTATATATGTCCATGCCACTCTCTCACTTGGTCCCAGCTTACCCTTCCCCCTCCCCATGTCCTCAAGTCCACCCTCTATGTCTGCATCTTTATTTCTGTCCTGCCCCTGGGTTCTTCAGAAGCTTTTTTTTTTTTTTTTTTTAGATTCCATATATATGTGTTAGCATCCATATTTGTTTTTCTCTTTCTGACTTACTTCACTCTGTATGACAGACTCTAGGTCCATCCACCTCACTACAAATGACTCAATTTCGTTTCTTTTTATGGCTGAGTAATACTCCATTGTATATATGTGCCACATCTTCTTTATCCATTCATCTGTCAGTGGACACTTAGGTTGCTTCCATGTCCTGGCTATTGTAAATAGTGCTGCAATGAACATTGTGGTACATGACTCTTTTTGAATTATGGTTTTCTCAGGGTATATGCCCAGTAATGGGATTGCTAGGTCATATGGTAGTCCTATTTTTAGTTTTTTAAGGAACCTCCATACTGTTCTCCATAGTGGCTGTATCAATTTACATTCCT